AAAAACCCAAAAAAAAAAAAAAAAAAAAGAAAGAAAGAAAGATTCGTGACTAAGATAAATTTACACAATATTCCAAACCTCGATTCGTCTCGATATTCAAAAGTTCGGAAATAGGTGACTCCGTGTTCGGGCCAGGTATCGTGAGAGACGCGCGACGTCGTCGTTCGAGAGTTTTCGTGGAAGGAAACGCGGCACAATGCCGTCCGAATCTTGGAATCGAGCGCGGCACAATGAAGAACGGCCCCCGAACAGTGTTGAATAAATATCGATCATACGAGACGCCAAAAAGGAAATATTATTTTCATATTCGAGCCAGCTGTCTCGCCTCTCGCCTCGAGCGGTGGACAATGCCCGATGATCCAATAACGGCCCCATCTCACCTCTCCCCCCTCTCCAGAGATCCACACCGGAAACACGGCGATCCTTGTTTCAACCGTCCTCGCGACCATCCGTTTCCTCCGCTTTTCCTACGTTCGTTCGAATCCTCCTCCTCCTCCTCCTCCGATAACCGGTTATGGAAAGTTTATCGCGTCTAAGCAATAAACAGCACGGATGTATTAAAAACCTCGCGCCTCGTTGACAACAAACCGCTGTCACTCGTGTTTATTTACACACGCCGATCCGTAGGAAAGATTATTATATTATATCGGCCGCGATCAACCTGCCTTTAGCCTCGCCTCGGCCTCTAATGGCTTCTATTCGGGCGGATAGACGGATGGATGGATGGATGGATGGGTGGTGGAAAGTGGCGCGCGTGAAACGGTGGCGCGCTGCAAATCGGATAATCCGGGGGCGACAATAGGTCGGGAGGTTAAGCGTGTTTGCTCTTCTCTCGAGAACCACGTCCGCGCCCGACAATGGGGGCCCGTTTGCGAGACCGCTTTTCGTCCTTTTTTTCGGTGAAAAAAGAAAAAGGAGAGGGAAGAGAGAGAGAGAGAAATAAAGAGGAGAAGAGAGGGGGGGAGAGACGATTTTCGAGAAAGAAAGAAAGGAAGGGAGGATGGCACGAGTCTCGGGCGGGCCAAGTGCACGCCCGAATCGGCCACAATGAGGCTAATCAACCGGCCAAGTGTACACACAATCGACAACAAACCGTATATTATATTCGTCGAGAAAAACGGTCGCAAAAACCGATGATCTTTATCTCTCTTTCTTTCTCTCTCTCTCTTTCCTATATAGAAATTTGTCGAGTGGGTCTAAGAGGCAGATGCGTATCTTCTCTTTCTCTCTCTCTCTCTTTCTCTATCTCTCTCGATAGCCGAGTGAATTCGCGCGACGAATCGCTCGATCCTCTCGGTTATTCGAGAGGTATTTAAAGTCCGTTAGAAACGAGGCTCTAACGACGGATGACTCATTGCGCTGTTTCGACCGCGGTTGGCGGGCGACGAGGCTAATTAAAATATCTCGAACGAAAGAAAGAGATAGAAAGAGCGTGGCTCGCTTAAAGGTTATCGCGATCGAGGTTTCGCGAACTTTCCCTCCGTATCGTGTTCGAATTATACATGCGGCCACGGATGATAATCGAAAGTAAGTCGATCGTGACTCTGTCGAGATTTCAACGCATCCCTTTCCCGTAATTGGAGACTTGAATCTCAAAAGGTACGTTTCTGCAAAATACGTGTACTCATAGGGATATTTTAAATTACTTTCGCGGTCGAATAATGACTCTTGGCCATCGCTTGGATCAATTCGATAATATTTATTTACGTTCGGTTTTTTCACAATATCGCTAAGCTGTTTACGTATGATCTTATAAAGCGTGGAATGATATAATATCGAACGATTAGGTTTTTTTCAATCTGAAATTGGAGCGTGAGTTGGTTTCGAGTTCGGTGGGAATGGAAATATTATTTTCGATTTACTGAATAATGAAATTATCTTTATTAAGGAATCGACGATAGAGGGAAGGAAGATAGTAATGAGAATAGAGATGTATTATAAGACGAATATAGAATGTGAATATAATTATCGTTAAAATACAAATTTTCTTTCCATACACGTAAATATACATAAAATATCAGTATATAAAAATTTTACACGTTAAATTCACGCGTGAAATCATCTTAACTTACTGCCAAGAAATTNCTCTCCCCCTCCCCGCTAGAAGAAAGGAGAGAAGGATACCTTTCGACGTGGCATTACGCGGCTGTCAATGTACAAATCACACCCCATTTACTCCATTCAAAGCAGCGCTCGTTTAACGACACTCGGACAGGAGGAGGCACGNATTTTTCACCAGAGACCAGACTCTTTTTCTCTCTCTCTCTCTCTCTCTTTTTATCGGGGCCAAGAGAGAAGGGATCCTAGAAATCGGAGAAAACGAAAACGAAAAAGAGCGTCTTCTCCTCTCCCCCTCCCCTCCTCTGGCTACAATTTTTCTCGACAAAGTAAGTCTTTCCATCAAACGATTAAACTTTCGATTATCCTTTCTTCTAACTTTTATCGAAATTCCATCTTTCGCCGAATATATTCCTTCGAATATTAGCAATAGTAAGGGTACTTACCAATAGTAAGGATAGTCGAGTCTTTTTCTTCTCCTTTTTCTTTTTCTTCTACACACACACACACACATACACACATACTCGAAATAATTGCACGCAATTATACTCGGACGGAACGACTCGAATCGGGTAAACTTTCGTATCCTTTCTTCTTCTATAGGAACGGAAACGGATTCCATCTTTCGCCGAATAAATATATTCCTTCGAATATTAGCGATAGTAAGGATAGTCAACTGATCGAGCCTTCTTCTTTCTCTTTTTTTTATATACACACACATATATATATATATATATATATATATACACGAAATAATTGCGCGCAATTATCCTCGATCGGACGGAACGATTCGAATCGAGAATCGGGTTGGAAAAGTAGGGGCGAGGGGGAGGGGGAGGGGTTACGACGCGTAACGGCGCGCGCGTGGACATGGACGCGAAGCGGTGGATGGTAGGGAGATAACGAACGAGACCGAGTTCGAATTGATTCGAACTGGCAACTCCGCTGTGTAAATCGAATTAAATTCGGGGCAATTTTTGGGGAGGAGGGCGCGGAAATTTTAATCGCAGGAAACTCGATCGAGGATATCGCGCGTGAACTTTAATCCTTCGAACGGGGAGGAGAGGAGAGAAAT